AAGGAATTGAATGATCGCGCGGAGGGGAAGCAACATCGAATAGCCTTTTTCCTTGTGCGTTTCGCAATCTTCTTCTGACCTGGAATAGATGCTCTAACACGGGAACAGGTGGATAGCGTTACACTCGCATACCAACAGGCCGCGGTACTACGCAATAACTTGGATCAGAGTGTCGGGCATTTCTTTGGAGCTATGGGAACTGACCTGTGGAGCAAAAGTGTCTGGGAGCAGCACTTCCAAAAGAACATGGTGATCGTCTGTACAGCGGAGATTTTGAACCAGTGCCTGCTCAACTCCTACGTCAAGATGAGCCAAATTAACCTCCTAATCTTCGACGAAGCGCACCATACAAAGAAAGATCATCCCTATGCACGGTGTGTATGGTCTGACATGAAACACGTACAAAAGCTAATTACACTTCAGCATCATACGTGAATCTTACCTTGAAGAAGACCCCTCAAAGCGTCCACGAATATTTGGGATGACTGCATCACCGATCGACACAAAAGGTGACATAGTCGACGAAGCTACGTATGTTATGAAAGTTGGAGTAACAAATGAAGTACTAATTCAAAATAGGAGACTTGAGAAGTTGCTTGACAGTAGGATAGCTACGACTTCCAACATGTCACTTCTACGGCAGGTGGTCAGGCGTCCAGTGGAGAGAGTATGGTCCTTCAACAGGTTGGAGCAACCGTTTGCTACTAGCCTATATAAGCAGCTTGAAGATCGTTTTGGAGACATGGCGTGCTTGGAGGGTATATTCAGATTTGCTTGGCAGGCCAGCTCTGAGCTAGGCCGATGGTGTTCAGATCGAGCATGGGCGCGTGCTTTAGCAGATGATGTATTGCCCAAACTCGAAGGTAATGTTCGTAAGACAGCAAACTCTGAAACATCATCCGATGTGCCCGAAAGTGCTTACAAGGAGATTTTGCGGATAACGGAAGCCAGTGAGATAGTGAAGGACTATGAATTTAGCAGTCCTGAGACCTTTGGCCAACTTAGCCCCAAAGTTCAGGTGCTTCGCGAAGAGCTTGCCCACTATTTTGGACTACCGACGGAGACAAAATGCATTGTTTTCACGCAGAAGCGCTACACAGCTTTGATTCTGTCTGAACTTTTTCAAACCCTAAATATTCCCTTCCTTCGGCCTGGTGTGCTTATTGGTGTCCGGTCTGGGGATTTAGCAGGAATGAACATAACGTTCCGCCAGCAATTCATTTCCTTGGTCAAGTTCAGGACCGGCGAGATCAATTGCTTGGTAAGTACTCGGATCCGTCTCCCAGGGTATCAAATGCTAACCAATCTTAGTTCGCTACATCAGTTGCTGAAGAGGGTCTAGATATTCCTGATTGTAATCTGGTCGTCAGGTATGGTGGTAACTCTGCTGTTCCCTACCCGAGTGCCTAACCTGATAAAATAGGTTTGATCTTTATCAAACGTTGATCCAATACGTGCAAAGCCGTGGGCGGGCGAGGCATTTCAATTCAACGGTAAGACCAGATGCTAGATGTGTGCTACAGAAATTAATGTACGGAATCCTAGTACGCGAGTATGGTCGAAAGAGGAAACCTGGATCATGAGCAGAGGCTACTTGAGGTTCAAGATGCTGAAGTAAGTCCCCTAAGAACAAGAAGCTATATCTAAACTAACAGGACAGAAAATGATGCAAAACTTTTGCAGAACTCTTCCTGAGGATAGGCTATTATATGGCATTGACCACGACCTTGATACAGTGTTGCAGAAAGACGAGGGCAACAGGACTTTCAAAATCAAATCTACAGGTGCTAAGCTAACCTATCATTCAGCAACGGCGATACTTGCTCGGTACGCTAGTTCTTTGGTATGTGTGACATTTAACTAGGATTACTGTCAATTCCTAACGAGTCGCGGTCTGTAGCAATACGAAAAGGAGATTTCGGCCCAAGTAACTTATGTAGTGCTTCCTATCAACGGTGCCTTTGTTTGCGAGGTTATTCTACCGGAAAAGTCACCTATCCGAGGCCTCACAGGAAGCCCAGCAATGAAGAAGTCCATTGCGAAGCGCTCTGCGGCCTTTGATACATGTCTTTTACTTCGGAAGAACAAGTTGCTCGATGACCATTTCAATTCCATATACCATCGTCGCCTTCCGGCAATGCGAAACGCGAAACTTGCAATAACATCGAAGCGCACCAGCGAGTATGACATGATATCGAAGCCATCTTTATGGGGCCGGAAACAAGGAATGACCCCAAATGAGCTTTATGGCACCGTTATCACGTTCTTGCCCTCCAGTCAACTATCGCACGAGGCCAGACCTTTGCTATTGTTCACACGAGAGGGACTACCACACTTCCCACAGTTTCCCATCTTCCTCGATGACGACATAGAGACTACAGTACTCACGACTCCCTTGGAAAGACAAATTTTACTTTCAAAAGAAGAGCTTGGTGCCCTCACAGTGTTTACTCTTCGTGTTTTTCGTGACGTATTTCACAAGACTTACGACAACGAGCCCGAAAAGATGGCTTACTGGCTAGCCCCGGTAAAGGTTCAGAGCCCATGCATCCCTTCATTTGACCCAAGGCAGATCCTTGATTGGGAGAGCCTCAACTATGTGCGCGACAACGACAGTATTCCATTTTCTACGGAGACACACCCAGAGAGCTTAGTAGATCTATTTGTGTTCGATGCCTGGGATGGAAGATGCCGCTTCTTCACAATAGCGATCGAGGATAGTCTGACTCCCTCTTCTCCTCCACCACCCTTTGTAGCCCGGCGCAGGCACATGACCAATATTATGAACTACTGCTCGAGCCTCTCCAAGAACTCCAGGGCTAAATTCTTGTCGACTTGTCATTGGGACCAACCTGTCTTAAGGGCAGAGCTCGTACGACTCCGCAGAAACCTTCTAGACAGAATGACAGACACCGAGAGAGAAGTTGAAACGAGGTGCTTCATTTGTCTTGAGCCTTTGAAAGTATCCGCTGTAAGTTTATCCTCTTTCAATCGGAAAACAGGCACTGAGCGCTAGCGAAGATCCCTGCAGCTACAGCATTCTCCTGTCTCGCATTCCCAGCAATCATCTCTAGAATTGATGCATACTTAATCTCTCTCCAAGGCTGCGAAAGCCTAAATTTCACCGTCAGGCTGGACCTCGCCCTTGAAGCATTCACAAAAGACTCCGATAATACCGAGGAGCACCGAGCTCAGCAGATACATGTCCAACGAGGAATGGGAAGAAATTATGAGCGACTGGAATTCCTCGGAGACTGTTTCCTGAAGATGGCTACCTCGATTGCTCTCTTCACACAGAACCCAGACGATGATGAGTTTGACTATCACGTAAACCGGATGTGCCTCATTTGCAACAAGAACCTCTTTAATGCAGCCGTTAAAAAGGAGGTCTATAAGTATATTCGTAGTCGAGGGTTTTCGAGGTAAGGATTCCTCTGCCGTGTGTGAGGGTTGAACCGGAAGACTAACAGTTGCGGCAAGACATACGTGGTATCCAGAGGGTCTGAAGTTACTACAAGGTAAAGACCACAGTAGAAAGGCAACCACGGAGAGCAAGCATGCCCTTGCAGAGAAAACAATTGCCGATGTTTGCGAAGCTTTGATAGGGGCGTCTCTGCTTTCCGGTGGTCCTGAACATCGATTCGACATGGCTGTCAAGGCAGTGACTACTCTGGTGAACAGCCCCAGTCACATGGCTGAGCGATGGAAGGACTACATTTCTTTATATACGATACCGAAGTATCAGCGGCGAGCGGCGGATGGTGCCGAGATACACCTTTGTCGAAAGGTCGAAGAGAAGCTGAGCTACCGCTTCCGTTACCCGACGCTTCTTGGATCAGCTTTCACTCATCCTTCGTATCCATCCGCATGGGCTAAAGTGCCCTGCTATCAGCGCTTGGAGTTTCTTGGTGATTCACTGATCGATATGGTGTGTGTGGAAGACTTGTTTGCCAGGTATCCTGACCGAGACCCCCAGTGGCTCACAGAACACAAAGTAAGAAATCTTGTTCAACCATGAGTAACCAAGCATTCATTAACAATTCTGCTGTAGATGGCCATGGTATCCAACAAGTTTCTGGGTGCCTTAGCCGTGAAATTGGGGCTCCATACGCATCTAAAATACTTTAGCGCTCCGTTGCAATCTCAGATCACTCAGTACGCCGAAGAAATTCAGACAGCAGAGGGCGAGAGTGAGGGCGCGGTGGACTATTGGACTGTGACAAAAGACCCTCCTAAGGTAATGCCGCCCTTCTGCAATGCAGAACGCAGCTAACGTGGATGACCAGTGTTTGCCCGACATGGTTGAAGCGTACGTAGGTGCAGTTTTCGTCGACTCCGGTTTCAACTTCGAGGTCATTGAGGAATTCTTCCGGGATCACATCAAACCATTCTTCGAGGACATGGCAATTTATGACAGCTTCGCAAATAAGCACCCTACGGTAAGGCTGACCCTGAGTGATTGTGATCTGGGCTAGATGACTGAACCGAACTAGACTTTCTTGTACAACCGACTGACTAATGAGTTCGGCTGCATGAACTATTGTCTGAAAGCTGGTGAGATGCCCAGCATCGATGGGGCCCCGACTGGGGTTTTAGCGGCCGTGATCGTGCATGATGTTGTCATTGCCGAAGGTACAGCATCATCTGGTCGCTATGCTAAAGTTAAGGCCAGTGAGAGGGCACTCGCAGTGCTGGACGAGCTATCGTCAGCAGCCTTTCAGAGAAAATATCGCTGTGATTGTCGAGAGTCAGGAGACTTGGCAAGACCCGACATTGGAACGGCTATCTGAAGGAAATTGGGACTAGTAGTTAGATAGGTGGTAGTCTATCTAGTCTAAGAGTAGATCCATGGACGCCGTCAGACCCGCCCGCTGCTGTCCGGGACGCACTAAGCCCCATCTGGATTAGCGGCAGTTCCCCCTGAAGTGTACCACTTTCTTCTGGGCCGTCGCTCGGGCTCGCTGCAGCATCCGCAGCAGCAGCAGAAAACACGCCTGCCGCGTCCCCCAACTGACCACCACTCAACTCGACTGGTGGAATAGACGACGACGGAGCTTTACTATGAACCTTTAGATTACTTTCTTTCTATCCTGTACAACTTTTGTTTTCTTCCGTTCTCTTCGTCCTCTTTCCCCATCCGTTGAACCTTCCCGGTTAATCCTCCCCATTCGAAGCCGACACCGCGCCCATTTCCCGTCAACATACAAACCAGCATTCTGTCGCAAATCCACGTCACAACCTTCGGTCGGCCTCTATGAGCTCTGCGAGCCGTCTTTCATAGAGTTACAACTATGGAGGTTGCTAATGCGGAAGTGTCAAATGGCGTCCCTGCGCCAGCGCAAACACCTTTGGTTGATTCAAATGCGGTGATCGAGTACCTGAGCGAAGTGCTGCGGGTGACTTTGGGGGCTCTGAGAAGTGAGCTTGAAAGCACCGGCAGTTTACTCTCCCCAGCAAGATACAACGAGACCGTGCAGCGGTGTACGCGATTTGCGTCGGAGTCGCAAGTTGCCCTCTATGTACAGAAGGATGTTGTGGCCTCTGAAGAAGCAAATGGAACGGAGACAGGTGAAGGTACGTTGCCTCCGCGCATACCCTGCTGCCAACTACAGCGTGCTAACAAAGAATCATCTCCTGTTTCCAGACCTGTCGTCCAAATACGTCTACAACCTTTCCGCCGAGATCTCGTCCTCCTCGACCACGGTCGCTACGGTAGTTTTCATTAAACGGCCCACCGCCATTGACCCATCACTCCCCATACCATCGCAGATCCAAGTCGTGAACTTCCCTGGTCCAGCGTCGCTCAGCAATGCCCAATCCCAGCAAGGAGCGTCTCAGTCGCCCTATGAAATTCTACACTTAATGGTGCACCACGGACTGAATGCCTACTTCGAAGCCAACACTCGGAGCCAAGAAGCAGCTGGTGGCGCAAAGCCCAGGACAGATACAGAGGCAAAGACCGGCGTGTCTAGTACGAAGAAGAAATTCGCGGAACTGGAACTTGGACTTCGGCATTTGCTGCAAAATGTTGAAATCCCGGCGTTGAACCTGCCACTGCATGAGGTGGTCCAGGCTGCCCTGGTCGATGCAGAAAAGCGCGGCGTCAAGCCTTCGGTTGAACTGATCGACCCTGCCATCTTGGAGAACAGTACGTTTGTCAATAGCATCCAGAACACCGTGAATGCCTGGATCCGCTCCATCCAGACGATTACCAAGATGTCCCGCGATGCCGAGAGCGACTCGGCCGCCCAAGAGATCAACTTCTGGCTATCCATGGAAACCGCACTTGAAGGAATCGAGAACCAGTTGCGGGGTGACGGAGTTCAGCTAACGATGGATATCCTCCGACATGCGAAGCGTTATCAGGCCACTCTTAGTTTCGTAGCCGACACAGGTCTTCGCGAAGCAACTGATCTTGTGCAGAAGTACAACCAGCTCATGCGGGATTTCCCGCTCGACGAACTTCTCTCGGCGACTACCCTGCAGAAGGTGCAAGAGTCTCTTAACTTGATCTTCAACCATCTCAACAAAAAGTTGAAGATCTGTCCCTACCCGATCAAGCGTGCTCTTGCTCTTGTGGAAGCCATCTCTGGGGACCTAGACAACCAGATTCACTCCTTGCTCCAGGGCCGGACCATTTTGCACTTGGACTACCGTGAGTTCCGTTCTCTTATGAAGACTGCTGGTGCGATTTGGCGGACTTGGGACGAAAACCTGAAGGAGTTCACCAATGTCGCTCGAGAGTCTACTAGACGCCGGAACGAGAAGTTCATCCCCATCAAGATCGCCGCGCGCCATGAGAAGACGCAGGAAAGATTGAAATATATCAACACATTCCGGGTCAACCATGAGCAGTTGCAGCGAACGATCGTCAACGTCCTTGGTCCGAAGACTTCGTCTGCGGGAGATACGGCTGCCGGAGCTGGTTCTGACGGGGCCGTTATCGTTGAGGAAATTGGCGACGTCGACGCAGTTGAAGAGGTGGCGCAAGCTTACGCCGCTCTGCGGAACGTGGATGTGCTCGATGTTTCTCCCGAAGGAACTCAGCAGTGGATCAAGGAGGAGATCGCGTACAATGAACGTACCTCCCGCGTTGAGAACTCAATCATTGCCCGTCTGCGTGATCGTCTTGCTACCGCAAAGAACGCAAACGAGATGTTCCGCGTCTTCTCAAAGTTCAACGCTCTTCTCGTCCGCCCAAAGATTCGCGGTGCAATCGGCGAGTACCAAACTCAGCTCATCGAGAATGTCAAGCAGGACATTTCTTCGCTGCATGAGCGGTTCAAGCAACAGTATGGCCACTCTGAAGCACATGCTATGGCGCAATTGCGAGATCTGCCCCCCGTGTCAGGCGCCATCGTCTGGGCACGCCAGATTGAGCATCAGTTGGATGGCTATATGGGCAAGGTAGCAAACGTGCTTGGAGAGGACTGGGCCTTGCATTCCGAAGGTCAGAAGCTTCTGGCCGAGAGCAATTTGTTCCGGAAGAAGTTGGATACTCGACCAGTCTTTGAATCGTGGCTGCATGACGTGCAGAGACGGCATATCACGATCTCGGGACGTCTTTTCAACATCATTCGTAACCGAGCCGCAGGAAACACGTTTGAGCTGACCGTCAATTTCGACGCGCAGATTATTGCTCTTTTCAAGGAGGTCAGAAACCTCATCTGGCTCAACTTCCAGGTACCTCATGCGGTGAGCAACATCTCGAAGGAAGCCAAGCGCGTGTATCCGTACGCCATTAGTTTGATGGAGAGCGTCAGAACCTTGCTCCAGACCAATCGCTCTATTGCGGCCATGACTGAAGTTGCGATTCTTCTGAACGGCTACGTCAATGACACCCAAAGTATGATCATAAAGGGTGTTCCCCTCCGTTGGGAATCGTTTGTGCATTCCTACGAACTTCATGTCAAGCAGTCAGCATTGGCTAATGGAGCCATTGACGCGGCCATCCCAACCAGGGGCGAGAGCAAGCATGTTCAATTCGTTCGGGAGTTCGCTGGGTCGGCATCTGTACTCCAGTCGAAGACAGCTGTTTTGGCTTCGATAAACGAAAGCATCCAGAAGGCAACCCATGAACTCAAGACTTGCCCTTACGAAGCGGCTGCATTTAGGCAGCGCCTGGACGCCATCCAAGTTGCCGTTGATAAGCTGAACCTCGAGAACTATGTTAACCTTGGTTATTGGGTGGCCAACTTGAACCAGAAGATCGAAGGCATCTTGCGCGAACGTCTTCATCGTGCTATTCGCGAGTGGATCAACTCCTTCCAGGAAGCAGCCCACGGCTCGCAGAGCCTTCAAACGTCCAGCGGAGTGCAGACAGGTGAAGGAGAGACGCTCTCGTACAACATCGAATTCCCAGAGCTCACCCACGAGATCTCCATGCGCAACCAGTTCCTCCATCTCGACCCACCGCTCCAATATGCTCGCGCGAGTTGGTTCGCGCACTTTGATAACTGGCTTGGTGTGATCTGCAACCTCGAGAAGATCAAATCATCTCGTTATCAAATCTCGATTGACGTACAGAAGGTCCAGTTGTCTGAAGCATGCTTCGCCACTCTCCCACAGCACTGTACCAACGAGTTGGGTCAAGTCTACAATGCAGTCGAATCGAGGTTGAGTGAAGTATCTGCATATGTTGACAAGTGGCTGCAGTTCCAGTCCCTTTGGGACTTGCAGTCCGAACAAGTCTATGACATTCTGGGTGACGATCTGTCTCAGTGGCTCCAGCTACTTCAGGAGATTCGCAAGAGCCGTGCTACGTTCGACACATCGGAAGTGAGCAAGTCGTTCGGGAATATCAAGATCGATTACGAGCAGGTTCAGACACGGGTTAATGCAAAGTATGACCAGTGGCAGCATGAGATCTTGCTGAGATTCGGCTCCAAGCTCGGTGGCCGGATGAGAGAGGTTCATTCTGAAATCGCCGCTGCCCGACGCGATCTTGAAGGCCAGACCCTGGAGGCTGCCTCCACGGCCCATGCGGTTTCATTCATCACGATTGTTCAGCAATGCAAGCGCAAGGCAAAGGTCTGGGAACCGGAGGTTGACCTTTTCCGGCAAGGCCAGGCCACACTCGCACGCCAACGCTATCAGTTCCCTAGTGATTGGCTTCACGTCGAAAACGTCGATGGTGAATGGGCCGCGCTGAACGAATTGCTTGCACGAAAGAGCAAGATCGTCCAGGACCAGACAGAAGGATTGCGCGCAAAGATCTCGGCAGAGGACAAGGTTATTAGCGACAAGATCACAGAAGTTATCAGCCAGTGGAACGAGGAAAAGCCCGTGTCTGGTACCATCCCCCCCGAAGAAGCATCTCGTACTTTGAGCATGTTCCAGTCTCGACTCGAATCTCTCCAATCCGAATATGAAATGGTCTCGAAGGCGAAAGAGGCTCTTGATCTCCCGGCCGGCGTTGAATCTTCTCTGCCTGCGATCCTGGAAGAGGTCCAGGATTTCATGTCTGTCTGGGCCGCTCTATCGACTATCTGGAAGAGCCTTAATGACCTTAGGGACATGCTTTGGACAAGCGTGCAACCGAGAAAGCTTCGTCAATCTATCGATGGCTTGATCAAGATGACCAAGGAAATGCCTAGTCGGATGCGCCAATACGCGGCCTTCGAACACATTCAGAATGTCCTGCGTCAGCTACTGAAGGTCAACCCCTTACTCTCTGACATGAAGTCTGAGGCTGTCCGTGAGAGACACTGGCAAAAGATCTACAAGGCCCTGAAGCCTGGCAAGCGATTCTCTCTCGTGTCGCTGACTCTCGGTGATGTGTGGGACCTCCAGCTCACTGCGAGCGAGGTTATTATACGCGATATCATCGCACAGGCGCAGGGTGAAATGGCACTGGAGGAGTTCTTGAAATCCGTGCGTGAGACATGGCAGAACTATTCACTGGACCTTATCAACTACCAGAACAAGTGCCGACTCATTCGCGGGTTCGACGATTTGTTCGCCAAGTGCAGTGAGAACCTGAACTCCCTTCAGGCGATGAAGCATTCTCCATACTACAAAGAGTTCGAGGAAGAAGCTACATCCTGGGAAGACAAGTTGAACAGAGTGCACGTTCTTTTCGATGTCTGGATCGATGTTCAGAGACAGTGGGTCTATCTTGAAGGTGTCTTCACTGGTAACGCGGACATCAAGCACCTTCTTCCCCTTGAGTCCAGTCGCTTCCAAAACATCAACTCCGAATTCTTCGCTGTAATGAAGAAGGTGTATAAGTCTCCCTTTGTACTGGATGTACTGGCTATCAATGGTGTACAGAAATCCTTGGAAAGATTGGCCGAGCTGCTGAACAAGATCCAGAAGGCGCTGGGTGAGTATCTTGAGCGTGAGCGTGTATCTTTCCCTCGCTTCTACTTTGTTGGTGATGAGGATCTTCTGGAAATCATCGGTAACTCCAACGACATCGTCCGGGTGGCGAAGCACTTCAAGAAGATGTTCGCTGGTCTGTCCGGTGTTCTCATGGATGACGACAACAACATCGTTGGCTTTACTTCGAAGGAAGGCGAAGAGGTCCGCTTGAAGAAGGAAGTCAATCTCGTCAAAACGCCCAGAATTAACGACTGGCTTACTGCTATTGAGACCAACATGAAGTTGACGCTGGCCGAGCTTCTTGCTGAAGCCGTGGAGCAGTTTGAGCCGCTTTACAACGCCTCAGAAGTTGACCAGACTGCTTTCAACGACTTCCTCGCCAACTACCCGGCGCAAATCGTTGTTCTTGCCAGTCAGGTTGTTTGGACCAGCGCTGTCCAGAGAAGCCTAGAGAACGGTGGCAGCACTCTTCAATCTTTGTTCGACGCCCAGGTTCGGATTCTGGAGCTGCTCGCTGCCACTGTCCTTGGTGAACTGGATGCAATCAGTCGAAAGAAGTGTGAGCACATGATCACCGAGTTCGTTCACCAGCGCGATGTTATTTCCAAACTTGTCACTGCGAACGCTACCACACCCATGCACTACCTCTGGCTCCTTCAGATGCGTTATGTTTACCAACCCGAAGGGGACTTCCTTCAGAGACTGTACGTTCATATGGCGAATGCGAAGTTGAACTATGGCTTTGAATACCTGGGAGTCCCGGAACGTCTTGTCCGCACGCCTCTCACGGATCGCTGTTTCTTGACACTTACCCAAGCTCTGTGCCAGAGACTTGGTGGTTCGCCTTATGGACCGGCTGGTACTGGTAAGACCGAGTCTGTTAAAGCGCTCGGTCTTCAATTGGGACGCTTCACTCTTGTCTTCTGTTGTGACGACACCTTCGATTTCCAGGCCATGGGCCGAATCTTCCTTGGTATCTGCCAAGTTGGTGCCTGGGGTTGTTTCGATGAGTTCAACCGTCTCGAGGAGAGAATCCTCTCTGCTGTTTCCCAACAAATCCAAAATATCCAAATTGGTCTCAAGAACGGTGAGACTGATGAAAAGGCTCAGATTGAACTGGTTGGCAGACGGTTGTCCGTGAACCCCAACACTGGTATTTTCATTACTATGAACCCTGGATATGCTGGACGGTCCAACCTCCCCGACAACTTGAAGAAACTGTTCAGGAGCGTTGCAATGTCTAAGCCCGACAAGGAGTTGATCACCGAAGTCATGCTCTTTTCTCAAGGTTTCAAGCAAGCCAAGCACTTGTCGAAGCAGACCGTGCCCTTCTTCGACCACTGCTCTACACAACTGTCGAAACAGGCACACTACGACTTTGGTCTTCGTGCTTTGAAAAGTGTTCTCGTGAGCTCCGGAGGACTCAAGCGTACTAGAATTGCCAGTTCCGAGGAGGACCTGGGACCTGATGAAGTCATCGAGCCCCAGATCATCGTTCAGAGTCTTCGGGAGACCATTGCTCCTAAGCTGGTTCGGGAAGATGTGGACAGGATGCTGGAGATTCAGAAGCAAGACTTCGCCGGTGTGGAGTACGTGCCAGCCAACTACGAGAGACTTACGGCGGCAATCCGCGACATCGCCAAGGAACAGCATTTTGTCGACAGCGAGATGTGGATCACCAAGGCTCTGCAGCTCTACCAAATCCAGAGCATCCATCATGGTGTTATGATGGTTGGAAAGTCCGGTGCCGGAAAGTCTGCTGCATGGAAGATACTTCTTCAGGCTCTGCAGCGTACCGAGGGCGTTGAAAGCGTTTCCCACATCATTGACTCCAAGGTCATGTCTAAGGAAGCTCTCTACGGTAGCCTGGACGCCACCACCAGAGAATGGACTGATGGTTTGTTCACCGGCATTCTGAGAAAGATCGTGGACAACCTCAGAGGCGAAGATTCCAAGCGGCACTGGATCGTTTTTGACGGTGATGTCGACCCAGAGTGGGTTGAAAACTTGAACAGTGTGCTTGATGATAACAAACTTTTGACACTTCCCAACGGTGAACGTCTGAATCTGCCGCCCAATGTTCGTATCATGTTCGAAGTCGAAACCCTAAAGTACGCTACTCTGGCCACGGTCAGTCGTTGTGGTATGGTCTGGTTTAATGACGATACTGTCACGCCTTCTATGATGATTTCGAACTACGTCGAGTCTCTCAGAACGCGGACTTTCGAAGACCTGGATGACGACAGTGCTCCCTCTGGTCAAGCTGCCATCAAGACTCAGGATGCCCAGGATATGCTGGCCACCATCCTGAAGCATTTGTTGCAGACCGAAGACCTCGTCCTGCAGGCCCTCGAGGAGGCCAAGAAGTACAACCATATTATGGAGTATACTTTCATTCGCGCCCTCAACACTTTGTTCAGTCTTCTGAACAAGGCCTGCCGCAATGTTCTCGAGTATAACATCCAACATGTCGACTTCCCCCTTGACTACGACCAGATCGAGGCTTATATCTCTAAGAAGCTTCTTCTTGCGCTGGTTTGGTCATTCACTGGTGACTGTCCCCTTGCGGATCGCCAGTCTTTCGGACAGTTCGTATCTGCATTGACTACTACCGATCTACCACCTGATGGTGCAGCATCTATCATTGACTTCGATATCACCCTGCCCAAGTGCGAATGGGTGAGCTGGCAGTCCCAGGTTCCTACTATCGAAATCAACACACACTCTATCACACAGACCGATGTGGTCATTCCTACTGTGGACACTGTTCGTCATGAAGATGTTCTGTACTCTTGGCTCGCCGAGCACAAGCCTTTACTGCTTTGCGGTCCTCCAGGTTCCGGTAAAACCATGACTCTGTTCGCTGCTCTCCGTAAGCTTCCGAACATGGAAGTAGTCGGCCTCAACTTCTCGAGTGCTACCACTCCTGACCTCCTGATCAAGACATTTGAACAGTACTGTGAATACAAGAAGACGCTGAATGGAGTCGTGATGTCCCCTAACCAGATTGGTCGCTGGTTGGTCATCTTCTGTGACGAGATCAACCTTCCAGCTCCTGACCGTTACGGAACCCAACGCGCAATCTCCTTCTTGAGACAACTGGTCGAGCAGAACGGCTTCTGGAGAACATCGGACAAGACCTGGGTTACCTTGGACCGCATTCAGTTCGTGGGCGCCTGTAACCCTCCTACCGATGCTGGACGTACAGCCATGGCAGAGAGATTCCTGCGCCATGCTCCTTTGGTCATGGTCGACTACCCAGGAGAGGTTTCGTTGAACCAGATTTACGGAACGTTCAACTCGGCCATTCTGAAGATCCTTCCTTTGTTGCGCGGATACTCTGAATCCCTTACTAAGGCCATGGTGCAATTCTATTTGGAGTCTCAAGCTAGGTTCACACCCAAGATTCAGCCTCATTATGTGTACTCGCCTCGTGAACTTACGAGATGGGTGCGTGGTGTGTATGAAGCTATCAAGCCCCTCGAGACTCTCTCTGTTGAAGGCCTGGTTCGCATCTGGGCGCACGAAGCTCTGCGACTGTTCCAGGATCGTCTGGTTACGGAAGACGAACGGAATTGGACCGCAGACGCTGTTCGGCGCATTGCCCTCGATAATTTCCCCACTATTGATGACCAGGAGGCTCTGAAGGGTCCAATCTTGTTCTCTAACTGGCTGTCTAAGAACTACGTGCCTGTTGAACAGGAGAGACTGCGTGATTTTGTCAAGGCTCGTCTGAAGACATTCTGTGACGAAGAGGTCGACGTTCCTCTCGTGCTGTTCAATGATGTCCTGGAGCATGCGTTGCGCATCGACCGTGTCTTCCGCCAGCCTCAGGGTCACCTCATTCTCATTGGAGTTAGTGGTAGTGGTAAGACAACGCTGTCTCGTTTCGTTGCTTGGATGAACGGTTTGAAGGTGTTCCAGATCAAGGTGCATGGTAAATATTCATCGGAAGACTTCGATGACGATCTGAGAACCGTACTTCGTCGCGCCGGTTGCAAGGGCGAAAAGATTTGTTTCATCATGGACGAATCGAACGTCCTCGATTCTGGTTTCCTGGAACGCATGAACACTCTGCTTGCAAACGCGGAGGTGCCTGGTCTGTTCGAAGGAGACGAATTCTCGTCTTTAATGACCGCTTGCAAGGAGGGAGCCCAACGCCAAGGTCTCCTTCTCGACACGCAAGAGGAACTCTACAAGTGGTTCACTTCCCAGATCGTCAAGAACCTGCATGTCGTGTTCACGATGAATCCCCCCGAGGAAGGCCTTTCTTCGAAGGCTGCAACCAGTCCTGCCCTGTTCAACAGATGTGTACTCAACTGGATGGGCGATTGGTCAGACCAGGCTCTCTTCCAAGTTGGCTCTGAACTCACGCAATCCGTCGACTTGGATAAGCCGAACTTTATTGCTCCTGACAGTATCCCCGTGGCCTACCGCGAGTTGAGCCTGCCAGCCTCTCATAGAGACACAGTCATCAACGCCATGGTTTACATCCATTACTCGCTGCAAAGATTCAACCAGCGTTTGCAGAAGCAACAAGGACGCACGACTTTCTTGACTCCGCGCCACTACCTCGATTTTGTTGCTCAGTACGTGAAGCTCTTCAACGAGAAGCGCGAAGACCTCGAGGAACAGCAGAGACACTTGAACGTTGGTCTCGAAAAACTGAGAGATACCGTCGATAAGGTCAGCGATCTTCGAGCCAGTCTTGCCCAGAAGAAGACGCAGCTGGAGAAGAAGGACACGGAAGCAAACGAGAAATTACAGAAGATGGTCGCAGACCAGCGAGAGGCGGAACAACGTAAAGCAGTTTCTCTCGAGGTTCAAGCTGCTTTGGAGAAACAGGAGGAGGAAGTGGCTTCCCGAAGGGAAGTTGTGCTCAGTGACCTTGCTAAAGCTGAGCCTGCCGTCATTGAGGCTCAGAAGAGTGTCAGCAACATTAAGCGCCAGCATCTTACTGAAGTCCGTTCCATGGGTAATCCTCCTGCTAGCGTTCGACTGGCACTTGAAGCCGTCTGCACCCTGCTTGGCCACAAGGTCGACAGCTGGAAGACGATCCAGGGTATTATAAGAAGAGATGACTTTATTGCTAGCATCGTCAACTACGACAACGAAAGACAGATGACTAGGAATCACAGGATCAAGATGCGGAACGAATTCCTTTCCAAGGAAGATTTCACCTATGAGAGAGTCAACAGGGCTAGTAAGGCTTGCGGTCCTTTGGTGCAATGGGTCGAAGCTCAGGTGAACTACTCCGAGATCTTGGACCGTGTTGGACCTCTGCGTGAAGAGGTTGATCAGCTCGAGGAACAAGCCCTGCAGACCAAGGCCGAGGCCCAAACCATTGAGAACACCATCAAGGGTCTTGAAGACAGTATCGCTACATACAAGGCTGAATATGCTGCGCTTATTAGCGAAACTCAAGCGATCAAGACGGAGATGTCCAGAGTGCAGTTCAAGGTTGATCGAAGTGTGCGCTTGCTCGACAGTTTGTCATCAGAGCGGACCCGTTGGGAGGAGGGAAGCAGGTCTTTTGAAACTCAAATCAGCACTCTTGTTGGAGATGTCCTCATCGCGGCAGCCTTCCTTGCTTATGCTGGTTTCTATGATCAACAGTTCCGTAAGGCCATGATTGATGAATGGGTCACTCACCTGACGCAAGCGGGCATCAACTTCAAGCCACACAACCCGATTACCGAGTACTTGTCCAATGCCGATGAACGTTTGGCTTGGCAGGACCACTCGCTGCCGGTTGATGACCTTTGCACCGAGAACGCCATCGTTCTGAAACGCTACAACCGGTACCCCTTGATCATCGATCCTTCGGGCCGTGTCACCGAGTTCTTGGAGAAGGAGAGCACCGACAGGAAGCTTACTGTTACTAGCTTCTTGGATGATTCGTTTGTCAAGCAACTGGAGAGTGCTCTGCGTTTCGGAAACCCCATCCTCATCCAGGATGCTGAGCATCTTGATCCTATTCTCAACCATGTTCTCAACAAGGAATACCAGAAGACGGGTGGCCGTGTTCTCATTCAACTTGGAAAGCAGGAGATCGATTTCTCGCCATCCTTCAAGCTCTTCCTGTCGACGAGAGATCCTTCTGCCACCTTCCCACCGGACGTATGCAGTCGCACAACCTTTGTCAACTTCACTGTCACGCAGAGCAGTTTGCAGACCCAGTCTCTCAACGAGGTCCTAAAGTTCGAGCGTCCAGATGTAGACGCGCGTCGTACCGACCTGGTCAAGTTGCAGGGCGAGTTCAAGATCCACCTGCGTCAGCTCGAGAAGCGACTCTTGCAAGCACTGAACGAGTCGCGCGGTAACATTCTTGACGATGACAATGTCATCGAGACCCTCGAGACTCTGAAGAAGGAGGCAGCAGAAATCTCCAAGAAGATGGTGGAAACCGAGGGAGTCATGACCGAAGTTGAAAATATCACGCTCAACTACAGCATCATTGCCCGTTCTTGCAGTGCTGTTTTCGCAGTCCTGGAGCAACTGCACCATGTCAACCATTTCTACCAGTTCTCCCTGCAGTTTTTTGTTGATATCTTCAACTCTGTTCTCTACCAGAACAAGCGCCTCGCGCAAGAAAAGGACCACGCTGCACGCGTGCAGATCATTCTTCGCGACCTCTTCGTGACAACTTACCAGCGTACTTCATTGGGACTGATCCAGAAGGACCGCATCACATTTGCTATGCTTCTTGCCCAAGCAGCCCCCTACCCTATGGACAAGAGGATCATCGATATGATCCTTGATGAGTCGATGGAGAGCGTGGACCTGTCAACTTCACCTGAACTCAAGGAGCAGGTCTTGAACAAGATTGCCAATATGTCGCTCTACAAGTCGATCTTCCCTACGATCACCACCGAGCAATGGGAGCAGTTCTTTAGCGATGAGCTCGCGGAGAACTCAATCCCTGTTGTCTGGGAAGAGACCACAGAGAACATTGACAGGCTGCTGCGCTCATTGTTGCTTGTGAAGCTCTGCAGAATGGACAGATTCGTGCCAACTGCGGAGCGCTTCATCGAGGCCGTCTTTGGCAGAGAACTCTTCGAGGGAAGCACCGACTTGAAGGATATTGTTAGCCAAGTCACAGCAACTACGCCAATCGCCCTCAGCTCCAGCCCTGGTTTCGACGCCAGTTACAAGGTCGATGCTCTTGTCGAGCGCATGAACGCAACCTGCGCCAACATCGCGATGGGTTCAAACGAAGGTCTTGAGAGTGCTGATAAGGCAATCAGCAATGCAGCTGCCGCAGGTAACTGGGTTCAAGTCAAGAACGTACACCTGGCGCCGTCATGGCTGCAAAGTTTGGAGAAGAGGCTCGAGTCACTCAAGCCTCACAAGGACTTCAGACTCTTCCTTTCGATGGAATCGAGTCCCAAGATCCCAGTCAACCTCCTTCGTGCTTCTCGCGTGCTCATGTACGAGCAGCCTGCTGGTGTGCGCGCCAACATGAAGGATTCTCTCTCCTCGTTGTCTACCCGGGCCTCCAAGGCACCGGTTGAAAAGGCTCGTGTTTACCTCCTTCTGTGCTTCTTGCATGCAGTGGTGCAGGAGCGACTCCGCTACGCCCCAAGCCTGGGCTGGAAGGGATTCTGGGAGTTTAACGACAGTGATGTAAGTCAACCAATCCAACCTCCTTTATCACAGCATCCCACTAACATAATTGCTTTAGTACGAATGCTCCGCCCACATCATCGACTACTGGGTTGACACCATCGCCCAAGGCCGATCCAATGTGGCTCCTCAGAAATTGCCCTGGGACATGATCCGCACTCTCGTGACCGAGACCTACGGCGGCAAGGTCGATGACTTCGCCGACTTTAAGCAGCTCGAGAGCCTGGTGACTAACCTTCTTACACCGGCCGCTTTCGAGGACGAGCACAAGATCGTCTCAGGTGTCGAGAATGACGACTGCCTTACCCTGCCTGGTGGAACAAGCATCCGGGACTTTGTCGAATGGGTCAACAAGCTACCGGAGCGTGAACCCCCGACGTACTTGGGTCTGCCGGCTAATGCGGAGAAATTGCTCCTGGTCGGACATGGTAATAAGATGATTTCGGATTTGTCTAGGGTGACGACGTTGTTGGATGAGGGAGAGCAGTTGATGATTGAGGCTTGATTTGAGGGGTGATAATAGAATTTTGGGGTTGTGTGACATCGCTTGTTTATCCTGTATCTGATAGATTTTACATTGCGTTCAATTTTAGATCGTTGGTCTACTCTATTTCATTTTACTTGTATGTTTTCTGCTACCATTTCTGGTGATGCCAATGCCATACGAAATGGATAGATGAGTGTCTTAAAGGTCAATCTTCATTTTGTTGCTAGCTTGCTAGATCTAAGATGGTCGGGTGGTTGCTTCCGGCAGAATAAGCGAGCAAGGTTCGCCCAAGTGTGTTGGTGCCGGCACCAACAACTTCCCCCTCGACGAACGGAGAACAAGAAAAGCAGTCCCATAGTGTTGTCGATGTTGACGTTTCGTTCGCCTTCAATGTGGGACGATACTGATTAACCAGATAACAATAAAGCAGAAACAAAGCTTATAGAACAAAGAAAGAGTCAATTCAAATTTAATTAAATAATCAGTAACTAGAAAACATACAGGCAGAATAAGTTAGAGATTATTGGGGTTGACCTCCTAGTCGATAGTGTTGACGAAACCCATGTCCTGAAAGGTAATATGGCGTAGGGTTCTTGAGTCATGCCAGCATTGCGTGAGATCTATGGTGCAACTTCAGTAATTTGTATAGCCCTTTGGGGATAAATAGGTCTTATGTGTTGCGATGCCAAGTCTGAATGAGTGAGTATTAGTATTTGGTTGTATAGATGCATAAATAGTAGAAGGCCGATGCTACCAAGATTTCCGCAAAATTGGAACATGCATCTTTTAGAAGTCAAATGCAATAAAATCGCGATAAATTTCCAAGCGAGGTATCTTCAATCCCCTGCAGATATGATATTCTATATTTCGTTTCGCCCCATGTAGGCAAATCCAGCATGGCGAACGCTCTGGTACAACCTGGGCCTCCTGCATGTACCTCAACCATCCAGGGTCGTATTCAGAGAGCGATATCTATATATGATATTGATAATTCTCTCTTTCTCCCAGTTGGCCTATCTGATATATTCAGCTATGGGCGACCCCCGCACATGGGGAATGCTTTACCCATGCTACCATCTCGGCCACCTCTTGTAGAGTGATATTCAGATAGTGTGAAATTCCTTCAGGACGATGTCTGTATATCTTAATGGATTCTTCGTACTCCTCATATTGATGAATATGCTGTAGGTCAGTAGCAATGATTCCTGCCCGATATGTGTTCTGAGAATTCCTAAGACATATACTATCATAATTTATGATCATCCCAAAGAATGCTGGCCTGCATCTAGCGTAAAGACTATTCATCTCTTCCCGGAACTCCGTAGATGTATCCATCTACCCTAAACCAGGAAGGGGTTTAGTGTGGCAGATTTGTCAATATGGTGCTTATAGTAGGCAGCGTGCTAGATCAATTCCTTAGCTAATATGGATAGGCTTCTGCATATAGGTTCTGTGATCTGCGACATTATTCAGTCGAATGCCGGGATATTACTGCATTCCGGCAACAACCTTGATGAAACTCACGAAGTTATCCAAGGCGAAAATCTAGCTGATATATCCAGTATCACCGGGCGGGGAATGCACATTCTTGTAAAATTGGCGCTCCTTGAGAGTTAAGTGGAGGAGGCCAGGGTGAGAGATTGCCTGGACTAGAAGAGTACGCCGAGCTGTAATGACATCTCTGATATCTCCATAGCACGCGATACTGGCACGCTGTCGAGTTCCCTGTGATCGATTCCTTTTTTTCTTCGGGGGGTGGGAGGGAGGGAGGATATCTGGGACCCATATATGGTTATCGTATTCATTTGAGACCAGTACAATTGTAGCAGCTACACGTAGTGTTTGTATGATGATTATGTTGATTGTTGCCCCTAACGGAGGTTGAGGGTTCCTCGAAGCTATACTAGAGATGATGGCCTAACCATACAAATAAGGAAGGGACAGAATTATGTGACAGCAATGAGATATTCTCCAAGGATAGCGAGCACCAAGCTCATCTTCTGGGATATCTCTTGCATCCCTGCCAGGTCATGACTTCTGGCTGTAGTATAGAACCATATTTACATATACTATGTTATATAGCTAGATTGATCCTTCTTGATAGTAGTAATAGTAGTAGTCTCCCCAGATACATAATAAGCTTCAAAGCTGGATATGGATATGGAGAAGGAGAAGCAAGACAGGTTGGGAGAAGATATTTATATTGCTGCTACAGACTACGATGCACTTTGAACACAGTGAAGAGGAGAATAGTACTGTGAAGTTTAGAGAATGAAAAGAATGCTACCTATTCACAAAACCTAATCCCAGCAGGGTTGTTGGGGAATAGAGATATCAGTATTATTGAATGAGGAATGGAGGTCTACTGCTAGTTCGTCTATGCATAATATTAAGCTTATCAGATCGTAGTTAATGGCATCGTGTTCGGTTTGTTTTTAGGCGGCTTGAAAGTTTATTTTAGATTGCTGTGGCGGGATGTTTGATATCGACAGATGGTAGTGTAGTATATTTGATGTATGTAGGTAGTTTGATGGAAGAGGGTTGTCTTCGCGGTCAGTTCATCTTTGGTGCCAAGTGGGAAGTGGTAAGATTGGAACTTGCTTTTACTACTATATATTTGACATTGATCGGATATATCTGTGTTCTAAAAATTGGAAAGCGGGGTATACATGGATAAACTGATGCTTTTGACCTTCCAGTCTGTGCTCATTAGACTACCTACCATCTTCGATGGACAGCCATTGAGACTCGCTTGCTCCTGTCCGACCCCTAAGGAAGTAGACTACGATAAGTGTCTTCATAACACCGCAATGGATAGGATACGCCATATAAGAAACATACTACTGGTACTATTCATCTTTCCATGGCAGGTCGTAATCCAGTCTCATTCAAATAACCCAACGTAAACCAGGTCGATTCTTTCTTCCGACGAACAACAAGATCAGAAATAGCAACAAAATGAAAACACCGAAAAGGTTCAACGATAATATGCTAAACTAGATAGTATGCCAACCGCCCGGAGTCATTGACATCATCACCAGAAGACAGCACCAGAATGCCGAGACATATCGGTATTTAAAAGTTGAAAGTTGACCTGGTTATCCTGCACTACTCTCTCGTATGGACCGACCGGATTGAAGCTGTACAAGGCACCTTTACCATCCTAGTTCAAGCCTGCTAGAATAGCATCCACTTGATAAACAAAGAAGCTTTTCGGGTGAAGGATCATTGATGAGCGTTGGGCACATGCTCTCACGAACATGGGAACTCCGCGTTGGTAGTTGTACATGAAGAGCGGTTCTAACCGAAGCCATAAAGCGTATGACCCATCTATTTCATTGGGTTTATGTTAGTATACGTCCATCTGACCAGACTGGAAATGGGGATAGATCCAAATAATTGGTTATACTTACACGGTTAAGAGCAAACACTACCTACGTCATCTTATGTCAGTACACGAACCTAGAATAGACACTATGGTGGGTGCTCACATCTTCGGTACGGACAACCTAGAAGCAGCGATGTCAGTCCATGTTCTTAAGGCCAGCTAATAAAGTAGAATATTCATCGAAAACATACCTTGCGTTCGTGGCCAGGAGTGGTAGATGATTCCATCACCAGAAGTATTTGCCGGATTATCTTGGACATTCAGCTGATAATTCCCGATATATACATATCAAATCCACGTACCTCAGTCAGTCGGTTCTTGACAGTCTTGCGGACTTCAGGATAGACATCAGCGCTAATGCGAATGACGCCACCGCGGCGGGCAAGACGACTATATTCAGTGATGAGTTACTGGTGTTATTCATGGTACACGTGCTGCTATCTTAGGAGACGCATGTTTGATTGAGTTTGCGTACCGGATCGAGGGGCGGGCTAGCCTTTGTTAGTGGGAGACTTGCAGTGTTGTTTGTATATTACTTTGTTAACTTACTAATTCCGTCTATGTTGTTCCGCAAAATCTTGCTGAAGTGGGATCCATTGTTAGTATCTTCTACTGAAGTAGGACAGCGTAACTCCGCAGAGGGATGATACCGAAATCGCTTCTTGGGCAGGAATCTTTTGCTCTTTCTATCGGTGACTAGTCTCGGATCCATGGTAACTAGATCTGTCAACGACTTGTAGAGGTGATTAGGAGACGAGTTGGTTGTAGAGTAACAGGATGATGAGATTTGGAGTTTGGAGGGCTTGATATACTGCATCATGAACTGAGTGAATGCACCGTGCAGTTGCCATGCGTGTTAGTGCTCGGTGCATGGTGCATGAAGCAAACAGGACCAAGGGGAATGTCATGGCAACAAGCGGGTCTGTGCAGTGAAGCATGAGGTTGAGGAAGACATGATTGAGTAACATTAGATATACCCTCTGGGAGGTTTATGAACTATTAGGGATGGATATTTGCGTAGCATAGCGTATAGGTAACGTCAACGGGAAAATATCAAACAACACTCAGAACGCCTTCGATGGGGTCCATAACCATGCCATATGCACCTGGATCGGTCTATGAGATGAACGTGGCCTCGGAGAACATGGTTCCCTCCTCGGTGACTTCGGAGTCGCCGACCTTGAGCTTCAGAGAGAGCTTCTCCTGAGGGCAGTACTAGGGTTGAAGTTAGTATGCTGCACCAGTGACATACGATTCAAAGCACATACCTGGAAGATGTATGGTCGCGTGCCGGCAACGCTACCAGCAATGGTCTTGATGAAGCCGGGCACTTCCGCCATCACGTCGATCCGGTCCAGTCGGTTGCCAAGAGCCCCGTCAAGCTCCGCATGGACTTCTTGTCCTTCCTTGGACTTGCCATCCCAGACCCACTTGATGGACTTGGGCTCGGGCCAGTCACTTTCAGCATCTTGCGATGAGTCGGTGTGGGTGGCGCTGTTGTTAATACCAGCATAAATGATCTCTCCATCCTTGACGATACCGCCGACGTTGACCGTTGTCGATCCGTACGACGGAGGGGTGGTGTATTCCATCATCATGGCGGAGTAGGTAGGGGTCTGGAAGTTGACAAAGTTCCACCGCGCAGCTATGCAAATGTCAGAAACTTCGCTCTTCGAGATGTCGGCTTGGAGAGAAGCTTACCCGCGTGGTGAGGCTTCATGCCCTGAAGGGCATGGATGAACATTCCCCGGCCCGTGAGGTCGTAGGTCTTCTCCTTAGTCGTGATGGTACCCTCAACGGCACATCGGGGCCAGAAGGCATGGCTCATCGAACCCCATGGGTTCTCGGGGTCCGTGCCGAAGTAGGACGTGCCGTCCTTGCCGATCATGAAACCAGGGGAAGAGCGCTTGAATGTCAGGTTCACCAGACTATCCTCGTTCACAGCGGACTTGATGGTGTAAGTATCGCCATCCTCGTTGAGTTGGACAGCGAGGTTGTCGGCACCAAAGGAGAGCATGCTTTCATCGAACATGAAGTTGGACAGGGGATCCGAGTGCCAGTTGTGGGGTCCATCGCCTTTGAGGTTGAAGATCTTCGATGTGAACTGAGCGGTGGTGTGGAGACCTCTGTGGGAGCACGAGCAGCATTAGAATAGAGACGAGAGTGAGGCGATGTTGAATTATCGGTAAGTCAAGGTACAACTCACACGATGTTGCTGTAGATCAGCTGAACCATCGCCAAGGTACCATCATCGGCCATGATGTAAAAGACCTTGTTTTCGACATTGGTGTACTGGTAAGCGCGCCAGCGCAGGTCATTCTTGCTGAGCTCGGTATAAGGAGTCTCTTGGGCCTGGCGGGCGACAGATTGAATGGCTTCAGGCCCATAGATGGGCTCCTGCGTTCCGGCAACGGAAGCGAGACTAGAGGCGGGGGATTTCAGTTAGCAAACAAAAAACATGTATATCAGCTGATTCAGCAGAGTGAAAAGAAGAGCAAGCATACGTTGACTTGAGCCAGTTCATTATGGGCGATATGTGAGGTGTCGTGAGGAATTACAACAAACAGAGGGAGGTTGTGAAAACAAGAGAATGGGAGATGTGAGGAAAGATGGAAATCAAATCGATAGCGCGCGGGGCCACAAGGGGGGTTCGGTCGATCGTTCTATAGTAGCTTCCGGTGGTCTGGACAAATGCTGGGACGAGCAGCTGGCGAGCGGGACAAGACGGGAAGAAGAGCCCAAAGTTCACTTGGGAGTCACAAACAATCACAGCTGGTTTTCTGCCAACAGCAAAGGTTCAATGGGGCATTAATCCAAACGAACTTCAGTGCAGCAGATGAGTGAGTTGGTGGCAGGTGAAGCGCTGACCGCCAACTGGGCGAGGAATCCGGATGACGTCCAGCACTCGAATTGCAGGCGGATTTCCTGTTTGGGCTTCGCTTGTGTCTTAAACGGAAAGTAACGCCGACCCCGCGGCGCCATCCCGAATCCAGAACCCCAAGAAAACTTGGCCGCAAAAGACGCTCGCCGACTGCCGATTGATTGTTGTCAGTTGCTGTCCGGACACTCCATACGCTCCCTCACTTCAACTCCGATTCGCCTTCACTGCAGTTTCATCAAACATACCGTCAAATCTCATCATCATGGCGAAGAAGGCATTGGCCAAGGACCAGATCGTGAAGCTCATCGTGGGCGCCGGTCAGGCCAGTCCCAGTCCCCCCGTCGGTCCGGCCCTGGGTAGTAAGGGTGTGAAGAGTATGGATTTTTGTAAGGTAAGCTGAGAGCACACTCCATGGACGGTTCAATTGGACTTGTCTTCTGCAAGACGTCCAATGTGAGCTATCTGCACTAGAAGGATGCGCAGGGCTGATATGGTATACTGTAGGAATTCAACGCCAGAACTGCACACATCAACACCGGTGTCCCCATTCCTGCGCGTGTCACTGTCCGCCCCGACCGTTCCTTCACCTTCGACCTCCGCACTCCCACCACCACCTATCTGCTGTTGCAAGCGGCCAACGTGGAACCTCGCAAGAATCGCATCCGTGGCGCCCAGAACCCGGGCCATGAGTTCATCGGCAAGATCTCCCTCAAGCATGTCTACGAAATCGCCAAGATCAAGCACTCCGAGACGCGACTGTCTGGATTGAGCCTACAGGGATTGTGCAAGAGTGTCATTGCCCAGGCCAAGTCCGTTGGCATTCAGGTTGTACCATGAGGTTATTGCGGAGCGGGCGATTGGTGATGTCGTTGTACACTATCTTGTGCCCTTACTCCCGTAAGGTTACTCCTCTTCTTGTCTTGGGCTTACGAAATTGGCGTTATGTGGAACTGGGTTTGTTACCGTCTGTATCATAGGCATTGCATGTTGTATAGAAAGCGTTGGCTGGTGCCTCAAGCGATCACATGAAGTGGATTTGACTGTCTGACCATGAAGGGCTCGGCTCTTGGGTATAAGGGTGGGCGTAGGTTGCTGATGGGCGATGATGCATTCCTGACCAGGGCCTGCGTGCGGGCTGGTCGTCACGATACCTCTATGAAGTAGTAAGAAGTCGGGTGGAAGCCCGCGAGTCAGCAATAATGATATACACGCCTTTCTTCACCTACCAATCCATGCCATACCCTTGCCAGGGGGCTTTTCGATCACTCCCAATACTCATCAGCGGGTTAGAAAGGGTTAGAAAAGGAATACTAGACAGTCTGTTGCTGAGCAGTCAAAATTGGCGCTGGTCCCTCGCCAAGTTGGAGATCGGAGCGAAGGGGAAAAGCTGAGCGAGACACAACAGCGTGCCCAGAAATACCGCCGAGAAGGCCAAGAGGCGGAGGACACGCAAGTTTCCTCCTAACGTCTTGGATACGCGGCCAGGTGAGAGGTCGGGGGAGGAATCGTCGTACGGTCTTGTAATGACAAGCCCCTTTCTCCCACTATTTTGCTTGGCAGGCATGAAAGCTGCTTCTCCGCTCGACTCTTCAGCAGTGCTCTTCTTGGCCTCACAACACAGTAACTTACTCGACGGACGGCAGAGGTTGACAATAGCAGCAAGCCAGGAAACAGGTAGGTAATGGCCTGAGATGATGATTCCATAATCTGCAGATGTGATGTGATGGGGCTACCCCACATTCTATACGTGCTTCTGGAAGTGTACCAGAACATCCTTGACAAGGGGCAGGTGGCGACTATCTTGAAAAAGTAAGTAGCTGGCCAGATTGGGAAATGGCGATATACACTCCTGGCTGAAACTAGTGCTCATCAGAAAAATAAATTAGTTGGGAGCCTTCAGCAGCCTGGTTATACTTGCAGCGGATAGCCAGCCTTTTACTTGAATTCATATAGTGCTTGTGAGGCGGCTGTTTCTTCATTGTTGACTCTTTATACCCCAGCCGCACTACTCTATAAGTAGTAGAGAGACCCAGCCGTCATTATTCATTATCTCCATCGAAACGGAAACTTTCCAGATCGGGCTGGGTTTACCGTCCACTGGATACCCAAAGCGGAATGAGACGCCCCACAGGAGTACTAACCCCAAAACAGCATGGTGACGCTATCCGAACCAGGGCGCGGGTTACCTACCTGAACAGACAGATGAGGTGCTAGTTATCAAATAGTAAGGTTATAGTCCAGTAGGAATTGGGTTAAATCGGCGAGAACATTGAGCGGATAATTTCACGCGTCTCCGATCCCGAAGGCTCCGATGATTGACAGGAGGTGTGTGAGCCTGTGAGGGTGTCCATGGACAAGGGCAGGCAGCTGACGGACGGACAGATGATCAAAGGGTGGCCGATTCATCAGCTGAGTGGACCGTGGGTTCGCCCTCACTCCAATCTGCATGCATTAAACCCACGCCAGATGAGATCCAGAAGAATCTAGCGGGGTAAGCGACCAAGCCCATCCATGCCTGTGGGCTTGTGCGGATCGGGGAATCTGGAGGGTCATCGTCCAATACTGTTCGCGGATGACAAACTGCCCGGCTAGACGGCACCGGCAGCTGCTGTTCCTCCTCTTTCTCGGTGCCAACTGACCTCCGGAGCAGATAGGATAGATGGATAGATAGATAGTGGAATGAATGAATGGATGAATGGATGATGGCAAAAGCCCGTATGCAAGCCAGATAATATAACTAAGCAATTACTGAATCACTAATCATCGGCTTATGACGGGCGGCCGTTCGGACAACTGGCGTAGACGTTACCGGTATTTACATGCCTGCCTGCCTGCCTTACCCGTAACGGCCGTGCCTTTGATGTCATGGCAGCCGTTCTCCGGGTCTCCTTGTTTGTTCTCCATCTGTAGTAGATGGTAGAGCACGTCTGGGGGGGTTTAATGACTCCTACTTTATGTACGCTACTCTGTTATGATTCATGATATCCACACCCATCCCACATCCTCGGTTAGACAGATGCTTGCTTCAACTTCACTATAAGAGGTGGGTAATTCCCGCACCATTACAGTCACAAGCTGCCTTTTTCC